TACGTAGGCCGTCCACTATGAACGGCGATTGCATGAGCACCTGGATTATTGTCAGCACGTATACCACGATAAGTATGATACTAACTGGTGATCCATCATCTACTTCAGCCATTATTAACAAGGTGTAATGTAGCATGAAAAAGGGCACCGGTATCAACACTAGTAGATCGTCCATAAGCATCTTATTGCTGTCAAAATGCTCGGGACAAACAACATCCAGGCGCCGTGTTTTACAGTAGGCAATGGGTATTATAGCGCAACCAATGAGAGTGGTTATGGATATCTGTGCCGAGTATAGGCTGATCCCGAAGTAGTCATAGGACTGGGTGGCGAAAAATATGATGATTGTGACGGCAGTGGCCAATAGGGCTGTTAGTCCGCAAAATAGACCCCGATTACTGGCGTGACATTGGGTGCCAATTGACAATGTACTCCAAGTGTCCGGGTCAGTTTGTGCCTGTTGCTCAATGTTGGATATATGGGTTTGACTGACCGATTTGTTTATGGTATGCTGGCATTTGTTATTTGTCGATTTGCCTGATAAATATTTAAATGAAATCATAAATTATAAATATATCTCTAAAATTTACTAGGTTAAATGTTGTACTATGAAATTATTCATAATTTTAGAAAATATCATAATTTTATAATTAATATAAAATTTTTTAGTTGACTGTATAATACGGGCTAGTTTAATTATGTTAATCTTATGTTTATAATGACCTGTAAATATCATATATATCACTGTAATTATTATGATGAATAGTTACTTGTACGTTTATAAAATTGGAATTGATTTTAATGGTATTTATATTTTTATTTTAAAATAAATACCAACCTATGTTGATCCAGCACATGAACCAAATGGACGCCATAATTATATTAAACTCAATGGTAAACGGATATAAGTAGGGTAATATAGACATTGATTTCGCGCTAATAACCGCTTTATCCAGGCAATATATTTCATGCTCCATGTAGTCCGGAAAAATAAGGTCGCCGGTGAGATTATTAATATTATCATTATGTATATTATCCACGTAGTCGTCCATAGCCTCACTGATAATAGTCCTGAACCACGAGGACAGTGTGGTGGCCAACAAATGCATCAAGGCAAATCTGCTCAGGATTGGGTATCTGTTTATGATGATCTGTCAATAACATGGTAATTATTATCCTGATCAATATGTTAATTAATAATTTTTTGCTTACGTTTGAATACTTGAATGCAATGAACAGCTGATAAAATGAAAATACTATCCGTACGGACATACTTATGGTCCGTAGGGTATCTCCGCACTCGTGGTAACCACTGATGTGAAAGTATATCTGACTGAACACCTGGATGCCCATGTGCACGATGCTCCCGAAACAAAATACTAGTTTGAACAAGGTAGAAAAGGTTATATTAGATTATTATTTTGTTTAATTAATGTATGATACACATTATGTTGTTGTTTAGTAGAGGAATTAATTTTTAAAAATTATAAATTTAATATTTACAGTTTGACTCCTCATTATCTAATACTGTATGTAGCTTATAGTCAAAATATTTTTTAATTTTTTATTTTAAATATAAAACTGAAAACATACTGTATTTAAACCACCTTTCTAGTTATATGATTTAAATTAATCTCAAATAAAGTAAAGACTAAAAATTATTGCTTATAAATTAGTTTATTACAACTAGCGAAAATATGGTTATAGTGTATTCATATAAATAATAAAATAAAATTAATGTCTGTAATCACAAATCTCAAATATACATTTCCAAAATATTTGATAATTTTTCAAAATTGCTATTTAAACATTTACAATTTCTTAGTTCAAACAGTTTAAGTCATTTGTAACTATAGTAACAATTACAATAGTTTATTGTAAAAAATATTTTTTCCCATTGGCGTCTAAACCACTAATATAATTATTTGTTTTAAAATTAATTATAAATAATTCAAACAAAAAAAATTACCGTTTATAAAGTAATTAATTAATCTAGTAAGCTATACTATTAGCTTGTAAAGTTTAAAATATAAACTGTACTTGTACTGTACAAATACTGCAATGTTAAATTAATTTATACCTGTGATTCCACATCGCAAATAAATATTTCCCGATTCTTTGCCCTTGATAAAATCGTAACCTGCTCCATTGCTAAATTTACCAGTTGCATTTTCATCTTCGGATATAGACTTTTGCAGTTTATTGAACACAACTACTGTTGATATACTGTTAGCCCGATCGCGACGTTTTCGGTAGTGATTCATAAGTTTTTGTTCATTTTTAAGCTTGGTGATATACTTGATTGCCCAACGTTTGTACCGGATTATATCTTGATGCAGAAACACTAGCCATATGCAACTTACTACTGTTAATATTATCATAAATGTACTAGTTCTATTAGGGTGTTTATCAAAGAGGTCAACTATGCAAATAACGACCGCGATTAGTATAATAACCATGGCGTATAATATGGATAAAAATTTGGCGTTGCGTGTTTTAATATTTGCATAATTATAATGTGTACTTCTTAATACGTTACTATTATTAATATCAGTAAATGAAACTGACCCAGAGTCAAAATCATGAATCAATTTACCTGTTAAAAAATCTATTACTATACAAGTAACATTACAGAATTAATAAAATATGCATACCATTGCGTTCCTATTAATAGAATAAAAATTATAAAATTACTATATAATAAACAAAATTAAATATAATTTTTAATTATTGTACATACCTCATTTAGTGAATTCATGGTAAATGTTGATTGGGTAGGTGAGTCAGGTACTGATAGATTC